GCGTTGGTACTACCTGCCAATTAGATTTGGACGTGTCCCTCGTCATAAACTCTCTAACGGAAGCCCGAGTCAGCCACCTCCAACGAGCTCCTCGGTCTAGACTCTAGACTCTAGACTCTAGAGATTGACCGTTCTAGAGGCCGTTGCATTATACGTCTTACCCCAATGAGAAGAGACAAGATTCTCCCCGAGTTGCGAGCAACTCTGTACAATCATTCATTGCTGAGCTGTGAACTCACTTGCACGATCTCGTCATGTGCGCATGCGTCAGAATACTTAGATTGCATTTAGATTCTCCCGTGGCAGGGTAGTGAACTCCCTCCGACAAAGATACTGTATGTTATTTGTGATATTTCTTGTGTAATATTCTGAGCTAGGCTGTGCAGTTGTCTCTCCTCGCTAGATAATGTTCTTGAACGTATTATGCTATTGTATCGTAGCTCCATGTGAGTCTTCTCGGTGTATAAGCTAGTCAAAGTAGTAGCCTTATTGACTTGGAGGAATGACCACCGAACATGTAAGTGAGCGATCCAGTATATAGTTGGGGCCTTGTAGTTGGGCCTGTTGAATAGTGAAAGATACCCGTCCACATTGTGGACTCCACAACCATGACAAGGATTTGCGAAGTACAGATTCACAGGTACTGGGACCAATGAAGGGGCTACGATTATATAGTATATATTATACAATTGCAGCATCGAGTATATAACATTTACTTGGATGCGGTGACCGCATTGCGGTCAGTGATGAAAATCCAGCTACATCCTTCTTTACCTTGGTTTTTCTTTCGCGCGCTCCGCGCGCGCCCGGATAATTTATTAGCCCCCAGGGTTTATACTCGTTAACCCCCGGGTATTTATCCGGGGTTTATTCGACGGGGTTTATTATAAACCCCGAGCCACCGACCACCCTGCATAGCAAGGACGCTGATACCTTTGACAATGGTCTCAGCATGGTCACCCGCTCATTCGTAACAATCATGTGCCTCTGGTCTGCCCGTGAGATCCAAAGCTTGGCTGTTAGACATCTCAGAAGATGAAAGAAGGCTATTAGACATAGCATGAAAGAACGGCCACGCAGGGTGGTCGTTCTTTCATTCTTTTATGAAAGAAGGCTATTTTTCCTGAAGGAAAGAATCCCTATTTTTCCCCGGAAAAAATGGAAATTTTGGAGGAAATTGGGAAAAAAGCAAGAAGAACTCAAGAAAAAAGGCGAAAAATGAAGAGCGAGATGTGATATGTCGGCATACCTTGTTTCGGGTGAGAGCTGGGGGATCTTTACGGACTCTCAAGCGGTGCTCAAGGTCCTGTCATCGCGCTGAGCATCCACGAAGTTGGATAAAGCAAGACAAATCATTCTGCTCTTAGTCGGGCTCTCGAAGAGGGTGACTCTCAGCTAGGGTCCTGGACACACTAGCATGTTTGCCAATGACCGGGCCGACGATTTGGCAGCCACTCCATGAGCTTATCCAGAGCTGATCTTAACCATTTGATGTATGATCATAGGGAGGGTACGGAGCTCATAAGATAAAGAATTTGTAGAGCTTTCGAATGGTATAGAGCTCACACTATAAGCTTCAAGGATAAAATAGGGTGTACAAGTCCCAAAAACTCAACGTTCATTGAAGACGTGACGGAGACTAGTGAGTGTTTGAAGCACTGAGATAACATCTATTCATGAGATCTAATAACTCTGGTGTGATAACTCATCGAAACCATCTATCCCTTGTTCATTGGATCGGGTTTCTGAGAAAAAAGCTACGTATTCACGTGAATATCGATCACGCTTTGTATATACGTACTGCCAGGCTTCTTGTTACGTTGAGCACTCCTCAATCATCTTTCGCCGTCAACTGGCCGCACGTCAATTTTCACAGGGATCCCGTGGCATCTTCCACGAAGTTCTCTCAAACCCCAAGAAAGGACTTTTCAACTCTACGAAAATTTGAGTATCCCAACGCTGTCCGATGAACGAGTCCTGTTCGTCGCACCGGATTGTGGAGCCAAGATCAGGAACCAAATTTGACCCATTTGAGTCATCCCACGAATCTTATCCCACAGAAACATAAGGGCAGCACAGTATTGTCCACGTCGTTGATCAGGCAAGCTTTTGATGCAATTAACGCCATTAATGGTACCGCGTGACATCTACGCTTTGCTAGCATGATGTACATGTGCAGTACATTCACGTCATGTACGTCATATACCCGACTGTACAGTACATTGACCATCAATCAGTGTTGGATGAGCTACAAAATAATTGCGTTGAAAATGACCTTCGTGTAGTAGTTCGAACCTGTGCTTCCCTTTCCGAGCTGCTAAATACATCAGCTTTGCCCCTTCTCCTAGTAGATCTACTTAGCAAAAGCTCATTTCGCTGAAGAGTCGGTTGCTGAAAGAATATAGCGGACCGGTTGCGCGTAGTTTCTTTCAAGAATACAACTGACCCCACAGCCCATTTTAGGGCGCAGCGAGATCCTGAAAAAGCTAAGTTGGTATTTTGTGCGTATTGGGCGCAGCGAGATCAGGAAGTAGTCGTTGTAGGGAGCAATGCCACGTTAACTTAGGAGCCTAAGTTATAGGGCCATTGTATATGTAAGCAACAGAAAATGCTTAGTCGGCGAACTCGACAGGCCCGTTATCTCATGCGTTTCGCAGCTATTCGTCGATGCTTTTTTTATGTCGGGTACTTTCACTCTCGAACAAGTGAAGAAGCACGGCAAGCCTGACGATTGCTGGATCGTGGTAAACGGTGATGTCATAGACTGCACCAAGTATCTACCCAACCACCCTGGGGGGTCTTTGGCCATCACTGCCTTCGCTGGCTGCGACTGCTCACTAGAGTTCAACACAGTGCACGATAAGAGCATGATGGAACAGTACAGGGATCTCATCATCGGAAAGGTTAGTGATGGTATCACTATGGAAGAGGTCGCCAAGCATGGCTCCCCCAATGACTGTTGGATCGTCGTTAATGGCGAAGTGCTAGACGTCACTGACTACATCAAGGAGCATCCTGGTGGGGAACTTTCCATCACAGCTTTCGGTGGCACTGACTGTTCCTTGGAGTACAATACTGTGCATGCCAAGGCTTTGATACAGGAGACCTGTCCTCAATGTGTTATCGGGAAACTACTCGTCCCTAAGAAAAAAAAGAAATCGAAAGCGAAGGCGAAGGGCGTCCTTGATATGGACGAAGTGGCTAGGCACAACACCAAGGAGGACTGCTGGGTAGTGGTTAATGGTTTCGTACTGGCTGTCACTCCGTTTCTGCCTGAGCACCCCGGGGGACCAGAAGCGATATTGAAGTATGCTGGCAAGGACGCGACAGAGGAGTGGAACATGATACACTCATTCGACGTACTTAAACAATATGGTGGCAAATATATAGTTGGGAAACTTGGCGATCCATTGGGTGGTACCGCGGACTTGGGTCTGACTGTTGAGGAGGTCGCTAAGCACAACACCAAGCAAGACTGTTGGGTTATTATCAACGGTACAGTTTTTAACCTCACCGATTGGCTCCCGCTTCATCCTGGTGGCGAAAGCGTTATTCTCAACTACGCTGGCAAGGATGCTTCTGACGAGTGGAATGCGATTCATCCTTCTGGGACAATGGAAAAGTACGGGAAGAAATACGAACTGGGTCCTGTGGATAGCGGTGGCACTGCTGGGCCTGGTCTCACTGTGGAGGATGTCGCTAAGCACAACACTAAGCAGGATTGTTGGGTCATCATTAACGGTATGGTCTATAACCTCACTGACTGGCTACCGTTGCATCCTGGTGGGGAGAGTGTAATTCTCACCTACGCTGGTAAAGACGCCTCTGGTGAGTGGAACTTGATCCATCCGGCTGACACCATTGAGAAGTACGGAAAGAAATACGAACTAGGGCCGGTGGCCAGCGTTGAGACTGAGGAGGCATCTGCTGACGTTTTGGACGAGGACGAGGTTGCCAAGCACAACACTGAGAAGGATTGCTGGATCATTCTGGACGGTATTGTTTATGATGTCACTAAGTGGCTCCCGATTCACCCAGGAGGAGTAGCAGCTATCCTGGCTTATGCTGGTAAAGATGGTACAGAGCAATTTGATATGATCCATCCTGAAGGGACCATGGACAAGTACGGTAAGGCTTACTATGTGGGCGACTTGGGAGGTCCTAAGCCTAATGCTGACACTGGCGCTGGTCTCACCGCACCGTTGCTCGATAAAGGAGGCAGCACTGTGAATCAATGGTGGAGGGACGACAGGAACACGGCTCGCCAGTATGGTCCCTTGGGTCCGTCACTTTCGTATGAAACCCGTCAGGGTCTTGGTGGTGTTGGCATTTTGGTTCTAATGCTGCTCTATGAAGTATGTGCAACGATTTTCAGCGTGAAGAACTACAAGGTGATTCACGACAAGTCGGGCCTGACCAGGTCTGCTGCCTTCCTTCTCTTTTTCACCATTATCCACGGTCTTGGCAATCTCCATATTTTCGCTGGTGCCCCACACTTCAATGGTTATGGCTATTTCCTTAACCATCCAGTGCCATGGAGCACTCTGATGCTACCAATAGAGGTATACCTCCTGCTGTGTGGACTTATGCATGTTGTCGTTGCTCTTGTGAGAACCTTCAAGTTTAAGAGGCTCAACATGGGTGTGGACGGCTTGTGGATGATAATATCTGGCATATTTCTTCTGGCTTTCCTTGTTGTCCATCTTATCCAGTTCCGTTTCGTCAGCGAGGCCGCCGCTCCCCAGTACTACTTCCGTACCAAGTGGATGTATCCCTTCTACTGCAGCGGTGACGATACCTCTTGCGAGCTTGTCCACTTCAAGGATCTCTACAAGATGGAATTCCAACTTTTTTCGAACCCTTTCTGGGTTTGCTACTACCTCATCGGCATTCTATTCTTCATATCGCACGCTCGGGAGGGTCTCAGGAAGATGGTCAATTCTCACCCCGTGGTCCCGAGAGCTTACAAAGGGTCGACCAACGCGGTCGGCCAGGTGTTGGTTGTTCTGGTCGGTCTTTGCTACCTCTCTTTTCCGATTTACAGCTACTTCGCACCGGAAAGAGACTGGAATGCATATGACGCTGCTCAGCGTAGGTTAGTAGTTGGACCTCAATAAAGTACCTGAAGTTGGCGGGAGTGGAACATGCAGAGTAGCTCATATTCTTTGTTGGTCGGCAGCATACTGCGGGCTTAGTGCCCGGCCCGACCAGCAGGTTATTCTTATTATCAGTGTATATTGTTTCGAATGTTAACCACGATGCTTGTGTTCAGCTGAACTCCGCCTGATCCTCTCATATTGTCGTGGAGAACTGTCTTCCGCAAGACAAAGTGTCTCACTAGACTTCGCGCCTTCATTGGGAGACAATCGTCGATGACTCACACAAAGCCATCATCAGCTATGACACAATGGCTGTCTCCTTTAATCTTTATTTGAAGAGAGTCTCAGAACATCTGACTACCGATTTTGCATGCATCGCCACTGGTATCTCCCTGCGGACATCTGTTGTTCGACGGGGTCGTTTATGTGGCTAGAACAGCCGTCGCTAGTCATTTCTACCTTGCGATTTCTTCGCAAGTGTTGGATTTGATGAGCGGGATAAGTCCTTGTCGTTGCCACTGGTATCTCCTCGGAGGTGAAATACTGCATTACCTTATGAGGTCGTTTATGTGGCTAGATCATTGTGTCTTATATGGTTGGGTTTGCTTCGATCTTGGTGCTCAGCAAGACATCCATAGAGACTACAACTTTATTGTCCTGTAGACATTGAAGGAAACCCAAATCGCCTCGGGAAGTGCCATGTGAAGAAAACTTCATCCTGAGTCTGCTATTGGATAATTAAGTGAGGCTGCCGGTTCTAAACTTTCCTTGGCGATTCCTCTGGGGCGTAAGATGTGAGTACGGTACGGGTGGATTTAGGCAGACACATAAATACCTCAGCTGCTAAGTGACCGGTTCAGATTTCCGAGAAAATCCTAATACCGTAGAGCAACATCGAATAGTCTCAACGGTGCATTCGGGCATCATGATGCTACATCAAGATTCCCGAAGGTCGTCATGAACTCATACGTTTGAGCCATGAGTTTCCGAATCCTGTGATCTACGAGCTTGTGTGCGAGAGAGATTGATGATTAGTGATTGATCATCCAGTCATTGACATAAAGATCATTGCCAATTGACATAAACGCAGTCATCGTTCAGCTGATGAGGTTCCACCCGCATCACCACTAGCCTCAAAGATTATACTGGGAGTTCTCTGGTAGTATTATCATAATACTACTATTACTGGGAGATTTCCACAGCTGTGGTCTATAGTACGGTAAATGCTCTCTGAGCAAGTCACACATTTCTTTCCGAACATTTATTCTTCTTTTTGAAATGGACAAGCAATTCGCTCCCTGTTGCTCAACTGAGAGTGTTCTGATTCGAAACTACCTATTCTCAGGCACCGCAGTGGATCTCACTGGACATCAGCCTCTACTATGTCTTCAAACTCCTGCATTCCATCACCGAGGGCCTTGGAGGCAAGCCACTCTGTATGCTGTGTAGGATCAATCGCACTATATCGATCATACTGGACGGTGTTACACCGTCTTCTCAACTGGCAGGAATCCCATCTCAGTCGATCCCCATAGCTCACCGCCAGCGGCCTGCCGGTGTTTCCTCATAGCCCTGCACTCTCCTGTAGCTCGAGATCTCCTGACGGCGATAGTGAGCATGGTAATGGCAGAATAATGTATCCATCGGGTAGGCTGAAGTGGGTGTGGTGACACGGGTACAAACATGGGCCGAGAAAGTACTAATGGTGGTAGCAATGTACACGTGTTGGTCTGTTTTGAATTCATGAGTCACATTTCGTTCGATGAAGCCTCGAAGTGTCAAGTGTTCAGTATAGCTCGCAGAGATTTGCCCAACTATTATGATGCGAACGGATAAAGCTTCATCGAGGAACACGATTATGAACTCCAAGTGGACCATTACGGGAAGAGCTGAGGTTGATCCCAGGTGAGCCTGTACGATTTCGTGGGGAGCTTCGACAAGGTCCCCGTCCAAAGTGTTAGATCATGAAGGCTCATCCTTAGGCAATTTGGAGGACCTCCAACTTGCCTAACCACTATCTAGAACCCTAAAGATCGACTTGGCAGGGAGAAGAGTCCTCGTCATACGGCTATGTTCAATCGTCGTAAACCGCATGGATCATCACACATCCAGTCGAGTTCAACGCAGTAGTCAGACCACATCCAGACTACACACCCGATATCATCAGAATTGTTACAGGCTACATACTCGTCGTTACCAACAAAACAAACAATATGTTGTTACGGAACAATTATTTTCAGTCGTACCAATGACTAAAGCAGATCTGCAGATGAAACAAGTCGAAACTCTAGCCTATGGAACAATACTGAATAGTTGGTGCTGACACCATTGTACTGTCAAAAGAATCGATAACGGATACGTATCCACACACTAAACGCGAAAAAACATTTTACATCTCAACAGGGCGGGGCATAGCAGCATCGTACTTGGCCCAATCCTTGATGGGAGCGAAGTAGCTGAACAAGGGGTAAGAGAAGTAGAGAAGGCCAAGAACCCAGGCCATGAGCTGACCGAAGAACTGAGCCTGAGACTTGTACTTGCGGGGAATGCCAGCGTAGGCAGCAATAACCTTGCGAATACCCTCCTTCATATGAGACCAGAAAGCGATAACACCAGCCTCATAGAAGAGAACCCAGCCGAAGCTCTCGAAGTACTTCATCTCCATCTTGTAGAGATCCTTGAAGTGGACAAGCTCGCAAGAGGTATCGTCACCGCTGCAGTAGAAGGGATACATCCACTTGGTACGGAAGTAGTACTGGGGAGCGGCGGCCTCGCTGACGAAGCGGAACTGGATGAGATGGACGACAAGGAACACGAAAAGAACGCTGCCAGTCAAGAACAACCAGAGCTGATCGATGCTGCTGTTCATGCTCTTGAACTTGAAGGTGCGCACAGTAGCAACAGTAACATGCAAAAGACCACAGGCGAGGAGATAGATCTCCACAGGAAGAAGAAGAGTGCTCCAGGGGCAAGGATGGTTGAGGAAGTAGGCATAGGCGTTGAAGTGAATAGCACCGAAGAACAAGTGAATGTTACCCAAGGCATGGATCGTGACGAAGACCATCATGAAGATAGCAGAACGAGTCAATCCAGACTTATCGGAAATGTTCTTCCAGTTCTTGACAGTGAAGATGGTCTTCAAAGTCTCGAGAACGAACATCCAGATGAAGTAACAGAGAGCAGCACAGTACGACCAGACAGAAGGTCCAAGAGGGCCATGCAAGTCGCTGGTGTTGCGCTCCTCACCCCACCATTGAGCAGGGGTAGCCTTGGCGGAGTAGTCACTGAGGAGAGGCTGGGCCAAGTTGTTGGAAGCACCAGCAGGGGCAGCAGCAGAAGCCTCAACAAGAGGTCCGAGGACAGCATCGGAAGCGTACTTCTCAATAACGTCAGCAGGATGGATCATGTTGAACTCCTTAGAAGCATCCTTACCAGCGAAAGTCATGATAGCGAGCTTTCCACCGGGATGCTCGGGGAGGAAGTTGGTAACATCCAAAACCTGACCGTTTACAACCACCCAGCAGTCAGACTCACTGGTGTGCTTAGCAACCTCTTCCATGGTGATACCGTTGGCAGGGGCCGCAGCGGCAGGGGCGGCAACAGGTGCGGCAGCGGCGGCAGAGGCCTCGACAACAGGTCCAAGGATAGACTCGGGCACGTACTTCTCGACAACATCAGCGGGATGGATCATATTGAACTCCTTAGAGGCGTCCTTACCGGCGAAAGTCATAATAGCGAGCTTTCCACCGGGATGCTCAGGGAGGAAGTCGGTCACATCCAAAACCTGGCCGTTTAGAACAACCCAGCAATCACTCTCGGTGTTGTGCTTGGCAACCTCCTCCAAAGTGTAACCGTTGGTAGCGGCCGCAGGAGCAGCAACAGGGGCGGCAGCAGCGGCAACAGGAGCGGGAGCAGCGGAAGCCTCAACAACGGGTCCGAGGATTGCATCAGGGACGTACTTCTGGACAACATCAGCGGGATGGATCATGTTGAACTCCTTGGAGGCATCCTTGCCGGCGAAAGTCATGATAGCGAGCTTTCCACCGGGATGTTCGGGGAGGAATCCAGTGACATCGAGAACATCACCGTTGAGAACCACCCAGCAATCACTCTCAGTGTTGTGCTTAGCAACCTCCTCCAAAGTGTACCCATTAGAGGCAGGAGCGGCAGCAGCAGGAGCAGCGGCGGCGGCAGGGGTGGCAGCAACGGGAGCAGCCTTCTCGACAGCAGGTGCGGCCTTCAAGTCCTTCAAGCTCAACTTGGTGTTGAGGCCAAGAACATTGTCGCAAAGGTCCTTACCAGTGAGGCGACCGAAGACGACGCAATCGAGAAGAGAGTTACCACCCAAACGGTTGTTGCCGTGGACGCCTCCCATGAGTTCACCGGCGGCGTAGAGACCGCGGATAGGCTTGCCCTCAGTGTCGAGGACGCGACCGGTAGTATCGATCTTCAAACCACCCATGCAGTAGTGAACGAGAGGAGTGACGATGGCAACATCGAACTCGTCATCCATTTTGTAGTTGTAGTTCTTGAAGAACTTCTTTCCCCACTCATCCCAAGTCTTTCCAGACGGGTAGGCATCATAGGGACCATTGCTAGGATCGGCAGTCTGCTTGTCGCCAACCTCGATGTAGCTCTTGAAGGTCTGCTCGAGGGTGGAGGGGGCGATACCCATCTCCTTGGCGAGATCATAACCGCTCTTGAAGTGCTTCATGACACCACGGCCCTCGTAATGCTCGACATGCCAGTGAATATCGTTGGCAGCGGCGGAATTGAGGACGAGGCGGAAGGGTCCCTTGTTGGCGAACATCTTGTTGGAGACGTAATCACGACGGCCGAGCTCGTTGGAGAAACGCTTTCCATCAGCATCGAGAAGAAGGCCACCAACACCACGGAGAGCCTCAGCAGCGAGGAACTTGACCTTGCAGTCAGGGTCCTTAGGATTGACAAGACCGGTAGGATGGACCTGTACCCACTCGAGATCGACAGTGTCGGCACCGACGGCCATACCCATCTTGATTCCATCACCAGTGCAGTGCTCACCATTAGTAGTGGAGAGCTTGAGAAGATCAGGGCGGTACTTGGCGAGAAGACCGTCCTTGGAGAAATCGGCACCGAAGCCACCGGAAGCGAGAATAACAGGTCCGAAGACAGAATAACCCTTGCCAGCCTTCTCATAATGCACACCGACAACCTCACCATCACCGTTGCAGATGAGATCAGTAACACGAGCCTTGTTGATGATCTGGCACTTGTCAGGGTGGGCCTTGGAAATAGCCTCAGCCATCTGAATCTCAGCGTAGGTGATAGTCATACCAGGGAAGCGCTCCTTGCCACGATGAGTACGCTCAGCGGAGTGGCCACCAAGACGGGCAAGGAGAGAAAGGTCAAGATCGAAGTTATCGACGAGCCAGTCGACAGATTCTCCAGAATGCTCGACCATGGTCTTGATGAGTTCGGGGCTCTTGGAACCACCCTTCATGCAATCGGACTCGAAGAGCTCGTTGGAATCCTCAACGCCGAGCTTCTTCTGAGTTCTAGTGCAAGAGCCGTTGATACCAGAGGTAGCCTTGGAAGAGTTACCACCACAGAAGGCAGATTTATCGAGAAGGAGAACCTCACCACCGTGCTCAAGGACGGTGTTGGCGGCAGAGAAACCGGCGAGACCACCTCCAACGACAATGGCGCGCTTGCTAGCTTCAGTCCTGCCTTCAGCGAGATCCTTGAGAGGAATGTGCTCATGAGCCGGCAAGAAAGTCTTAGCAGCATCCTTACCAGTGAGGCGACCGAAGACGACGCAATCGAGAAGAGAGTTACCACCCAAACGGTTGTTGCCGTGGACGCCTCCCATGAGCTCACCGGCGGCGTAGAGACCGCGGATAGGCTTGCCCTCAGTGTCGAGGACGCGACCGGTAGTATCGATCTTCAAACCACCCATGCAGTAGTGAACGAGAGGAGTGACGATGGCAACATCAAACTCGTCATCCATCTTGTAGTTGTAGTTCTTGAAGAACTTCTTTCCCCACTCATCCCAAGTCTTTCCAGAGGGATAGGCATCATAGGGACCATTGTTAGGATCGGCAGTCTGCTTGTCACCAACCTCGATGTAGCTCTTGAAGGTCTGCTCGAGGGTGGAGGGGGCAATACCCATCTCCTTGGCGAGATCATAACCGCTCTTGAAGTGCTTCATGACACCACGGCCCTCGTAATGCTCGACATGCCAGTGAATATCGTTGGCAGCGGCGGAATTGAGGACGAGGCGGAAGGGTCCCTTGTTGGCGAACATCCTGTTGGAGACGTAATCACGACGGCCGAGCTCGTTGGAGAAACGCTTTCCATCAGCATCGAGAAGAAGACCACCAACACCACGGAGAGCCTCAGCAGCGAGGAACTTGACCTTGCAGTCAGGGTCCTTAGGGTTAACAAGACCGGTAGGATGGACCTGTACCCACTCGAGATCGACGGTGTCGGCACCGGCGGCCATACCCATCTTGATTCCATCACCAGTGCAGTGCTCACCATTGGTAGTGGAGAGCTTGAGAAGATCAGGGCGGTACTTGGCGAGAAGACCGTCCTTGGAGAAATCGGCACCGAAACCACCAGTGGCAAGAATGACGGGGCCATAGACCTTATGGGTCTGGCCATCCTTAGTAGTGTACTCAACACCAACAACCTCACCCTTCTCGTTCTTGATAAGATCAGTGGCACGAGCCTTGTTGATAATTTGGCACCTGCTGGGCTGGGCCTTGGAAATAGCCTCAGCCATCTGAATCTGGGCGTAGGTGATGGTCATACCAGGGAAGCGCTCCTTACCACGATGGGTACGCTCAGCGGAGTGACCACCCAAACGGGCGAGAAGGGACAAATCAAGATCGAAGTTATCCATCAACCAGTTGACGGAGTTACCGGAATGCTCGACCATGGTCTTGATGAGTTCGGGGCTCTTGGAGCCACCCTTCATGCAATCGGACTCGAAGAGCTCGTTGGAATCCTCAACGCCGAGCTTCTTCTGAGTTCTAGTGCAAGAACCGTTGATACCAGAGGTAGCCTTGGAAGAATTACCGCCGCAGAAGGCAGACTTATCAATTAAGAGAACGTTGCCGCCATTCTCCAATACCGTGTTAGCGGCAGAGAATCCGGCGAGACCGCCTCCGACGACGATGACCTGGCTGGGGGATGCCATGGTGAAATGTAACTAGAATGCAGCCACAATGTTGTATCCCATGCGATAATCTCATATTCTAACTCCGGAGAAACCTCCAACACCTTTATAACCTCTTGAGTGACAATCGCCACGTCAGACGTCTTGGATTAGCTATATGAAATGTCGGCTCACAGCGAGAGCGACAAGGGGGGGACATCGAACACAAAGCTTGGAAAAGCTAAGCGGAGCCCACCCCAGGCAACCAACATCTCCCCTCCATCGTGTAGCGCTTCACACGATTCTCGTCATTCCTATCCGCGATACACATAAATAAACCCGTCTGCAATTTCGAGGAGCTTGCTCTTGTAAGTCCCCATCACTCAACTTCCACAGATCCAATAATCCTACTACCGTTAACATCATTCCTAGAGTGAACAATATTCAGCTTCTGAAGCGAAACCCTTCAACACATAACTCTGCCCCGACACATACAGAATGCATAGAACTAACAAAAAAACTACAAACCAAGTGAAGACACTATCAAGTCAACTCACATCAATTTAACCTGATTCGAAAATATCGTCGCGCACGCCCTAAACGATTGTCATCTACATATAAGTTGAGATGGACTTCAAAATCATAGCAGCAAGCTAGTTAAATTGTGAAAGCTTAGCTTTGAGTACACTATCTGGATACTATTGACACCATATTGTGTATGCTGGGGACGTATAATTGTGTAGATGGAACGCCGAGGGGGGAGAGTCGATTTGCACTTACTTCTCGAGAAGAGGAGACCATGTCTGCTAGATGAAGTATGACTGAGGGAAGGCGATTCTCAATGTACACGTTCTAGGACCAAGAACGCTGAAAGCAGTGTGAAAGACGAGATCTGTTGAAATGTTGAATATCATGATGATCGATTTCGCGATGATGTGCCTCAACCGGACCTGTTCCGCATCTTTCATGCTCCAACCTAAGATACCGAAATGCCATCATCACGCGTCGACCTAGGATATGGTCAGGAGGGGCCGGTATGCCACAGCCTTAGAACCTCGACTCTCAAGCGACATGGATTCTCTCGAGCTTTCCACCGCAGAACTGCAAATTAGAACGAAGTTCTGTTTGGTGAGGACAGTAATAGCTCTGTAGCTCTTACCCCTCGATAGACCAGGGTTTCGGACTTGAGTTTTCGCCGCGAGTCAATTCACAGTGATCCACTGGATCAGATCCAGTACGGAACCCTATGATTTCCTCTGGTTACCGGCAGTAATCGGTTCAGTTGGTCGTTAGTATCAGATTCTGGTATTAATGATCAACTGAACCGATCACATGAACTGATTCTGGTACTGCCGGTGACACTGTATGAAGATGTAAAACGCGTCTTCTGGAAGTTTCTGTGGTCTTGTCTATTCCTCTATACACTATCCTCAAAGTAACACTACTAAGGTCAACAAAGATCGAAAGATCGGATAATACTTTCCATCATCTGGTGACAGCACCCTGATGTACACATGGTTAATTGACTCGTCAGTCCAGTGAATACTTTCTGCCATCTGCACTATCCCGCCTTGCTGACGACGACACTCACAACCATCCTTCCTTCGGCAACCTCCTGCGATTGCTTTCACATGTAACTACAGGCGGTGGAAGGGGAAACAGGTAATACTGCACCTCGCAAATATTGTTCACTCAGAAAATACGAGTGACAAATGCAAGGTTTGAACCTGATACCTTCGGTAGTGCTCAGGTGAAGGGATATGTGTTGGTTTGGGTTTAATTTGATTGAAACCCGTACCATCTCTTGTGCACCTCAAAAAAGGGAAAGACTATGACACTCAACACAAACGATGGTCGAAAGAGAAGTCGATGGAATAACATCACCACATCAGTATATAGAGTAAACAAAGTGGATAATGATGCTGATGAGATAGAACGAGAGATAGCAAACAGAATAATAAGACCAATCGTCATACAGTAATTCGAAAGCGATGGAACCTTCCATGAGAAAAAATAGTTACTAAATCTATACCAGAGAGCTGGCACAGTCGTGTGCGATAACTCCCATCAGTCTTTGACATTCCTCTTTGGCTTTCTCGCTTGTCTCGTCCTCAACAACGATCACAGCGAGCCAAGTCGGCATTCCTTCCTCGGGGCCAACCACATGTTCTCCAGCTTCAACCAATGGTTGCAGCTCGATAACCTTAGGAGCATCTTCACGACGAGTAATGAAATCGATATCTCTGATCACACCAGACTTCTCGTTCAGAGCGAAACCGTAGGCGACAGCGCTATTAGCCTCATGTGCCTGCGGTCTAGAAGGAATACCACACGCTAAGAAGAGCTGTTCAACAACAAGGTCAACACCCTCAACATGTTGATGAATCGTCCGTACAGGGCCGCCACCCATCCTAGCATTGATCTCAACCAACCTCGGACCACGACTCGTATACTTCCCTTCAACATGGAAAAGTCCCTTGGATATCCCAACAGAGAGCAAAGCATCAATGGCCATGTCCTGAAGCTCTTGAACCTTACTCTCGGGCAACATGGACGGCAACACAGCCCAGCTCTCATTGAAGTACGGCTCTACTGTAGGGCCATTGTCGCTCACGGAGCAGAACTGGCATTTACCATCATCCATGATAACATCAATGTCGACCTCATCGCCATCAAGATACTCCTCAAGGACCATGTCAAGACTGATAACCTCATGAGCATCCACACCATGCGACCCTTCATCACCATCACTGTTGCTGGTCTCTGCGACCTGCTCTAGAGCACCCGAATCAACACGAAGCCCCGCAAGAAGATCGCAAAGTTCGTGATAAGTAGCAGCCAAGTCGGCCGCCGAATCGACTTTCTTCACACCCAAGGAAGCCGCGCCTGATATCGGTTTCAGAACAGCTGGGAAACCAACAATCTCCGCCGCTTTCTCAAGTTGCGACTCGTTCTTAATAAGGTAGTTGTGAACAACAGGCATACCGTAGGCCTTCATAGCCTCACGAGTAGCATACTTATTTCTGGTCTTATCAACCGCAATAGAAGGTAAACAAGGCAAACCCAAAGCCTCGCCTAACCTCGCCGCCATAGGCACCGCGAGATCAGCGAAAGTGCAAATACCGTCACACTCCCCAACGAGGGGATCTTCTTTCAACGCCTCAATTCCAGCAATGGAATCTTCAAAAATCTTTTTCGGCGGTTGATTCATATCGAGGCCGATAAACTTAGCAATGATGCCCTCTTGCACCAAATTCTTCGACCAGGACTCGACACTGTCGATGATGACCGACTTCACGCCGAGCTCAGCAGCTCGCTGATAAATGAACTTCTTGCCTGGATAACCAGCACAGAAGAATACAACAGTGGCTCCTCTCAACAAACGCTGTCTCAAGTCCTGCCCTTCTGGGGTCTCCATCTCAACCAGCTCAGATGGTATCTTCGCGAGCATCTCATAAGTAGCAGTCGGGGCCAAGGACTGAGCGACCATAGCACGCTCTTGTGAGGTCATACCAATAGGCAACTTGTTGGTCTGGAAGAACTGACCAGCGAGGAAGGGGTTGTCAAGTCCAACTCCTCTATCAGGATCGCTGAAACCACCATCCAGAACGAAGTCGGTCAACTCATGAGTGCTGGGGTACGCTGTTAGGGGTCGGGCGTGCGGAGACTCCCAAGTCCCAGCTCGGGGACGGTGAGCAGCAACCTCGTGCGCCTTCTCGAACTCGGCTTTCATTACAACTGTTAAAAAAAGCTGAAATTGTCAGATGAATCCAAAACCACAATAGAATTCGAGTCGACAGTAGACTGCTAAATGTACTCATATCCACAACACAAAAGAGGGACAGTGTCAAAGCCAAAACCTTGCAAACTTATCGATTCTCATGAGATCCCGCTACGCACAGCTTTAAACCAATACTTTGTAGAATGGATACTACTCTATCCTACTCTCAGGATCTCAGGATATCTACTCTGATCCTGGGTATCCTGGAGGCATTTGCATACTTCGCTGCGTACGGTGGGGACAATATAGAATACGATGAGAACACTAACGACAACAACGATAATAACAAGATTGTAGTCAAGAAGCTTGAATGAACGGAGAGGTCTGTAAATATGATGGCTGTGATAATGTTGATCTACAAGCAAATTATGCTAACGAATATTAGCACCATCATGGAGTTGAAACATTCTCAACGGTCCGGCCGGAACAAGGTCCACCACGTGTTCACAATACAACGGCGAGAGTACAACGACATAGCAGCAGCCGTGACTCACGGCTCACGGCCCGTGAGCCTTGAATCCAACTATATCATAGCCAGCCGATGGATGGTAATGTCAACATCGTTGAATCCGCAGCTACAACAGTTACTTCGGCATAATTCACTGCCAATGATAACATCCCCACAATGACATGAATTCACCTGACAGAGAACTCTGAGAGCTCAGCTCTCGGCCGAGAGACTGTCAGTGACAACCTGGGAGTCGTAGACCAGACCCTCAGCAGCGGAACATTGCAACCCTGACATCCTTAGATTGCTGTGAGGCTTTCACGATGCTCGTAGAGAGATTATAGAAGGATTTACGATCCAACCTAAGACGAAGTGATGTGGAACATTCTAATACCATCTCAGGGGAAGTTCAAGTGGAACTGTTCAACGTATTTGAACTAGAATGTTACCAAAACGAATAGTGTTGGGAAAATACACACATAACCAACTCCGCGTACCGATGACAGTGAGAAAACTCTAATGAAATTCTCGCTGGTTTCGTATACTTCTATCTTAGGTCGAATATAAATGTCTATAATTAATGAGAGAGCTCTCTGACTCAGCTGAGGAAACAAAACACGTATTCCAATACTGACAACGATTGTCAAGCACGTCCACCTTACCTTCCACGTGAAAGTTAGTATCTAAGGCGCGATTTTAACATGTGTATGCTAAGAATCTGTGCAGAAAATAATTTACCACTTTTCGACTTCTCACTCACTACGAAGAGTTGGCCCCTGAAATTTGGAGGTTATATCGTGAGAAGAATAAGAGCATACCCCCCTGAGCCGCAAGATGGTACTCGTTGGGGTGACTGTGCACGAATCGAAAAACTGGATATGCTTAGAGTATGTGGAGGAGTGCAGTTGCCCCGCGGGGAAATTGATTGTACCAAGGTATATCTTGAGGCGGCATAGTTGCCCCGCGGGGAAATTGATTGTACCAAGGTATATCTTGAGGCGGCATAGTTGCCCCGCGGGGAAATTGATTGTACCAAGGTGTACCTTGAGGCGGCATAGTTGCCCCGCGGGGAAATTGATTGTACCAAGGTGTACCTTGAGGCGGCATAGTTGCCCCGCGGGGAAATTTATTGTAGCAAGGTATATCTTGAGGCGGCATAGTTGCCCCAGCGGGGAAATTAATTGTAGCAAGGTATATCTTGAGGCGGCATAGTTGCCCCAGCGGGGAAATTGATTGTAGCAAGGTATATCTTGAGACGACATAGTTGCCCCTCGCGGGGGAATTGATTGTACTAAGGCATATCTTGGAGTGGCATAGCTGCCCCAGGGGGGAATACAGCCCCCAAATAGGTGTAGGATGACAATAAGAGGACACGAAGGGCAGCATCAAGTTTCCCCCCATCCTATAACGCGAAGCTCCGCCTAATAGGACAACAGACACTCATCAATTACATGGAATACACATCAACATCAGACATTACAGTCTACAGATGCTCATGGAGACGAAGACTCTCAATATGCATCTAAATGGGGGATCAATCATGGGCACCATAATCTCATGAGATGGTGCAGGATGATTCTTTCTGCCTCCGAGTAATCCGTAACTTTCTCGCAGTCGATAAAGTAGCCTCCCTTATTGCCTGTTGAATAGCAAAATAAGGATCGAGGACTCCGTACAGCATCTCGTCTTTATCCGTTCTCGCTCTTCCCTTTGTGGAGTTCAATAATATCCTCTCGACATCTCCAGGATCGAAGTCCCTCAAGCTCTTCATCATTGTTACCAGCCCGGCAACAATAGCCGTGGCGACCGACGAGCCCGAATTCTTTGAATATAGCCACTCGCTTCCCTCACGCTCCGGTGTTGGGAACCAGACGTCGGAGGATGGTACGGCAAGAGTTGCCAATTTGGACGCCCCGTAGACCAACGTCATCGGGTTATCCACGTAGGTTGAGGTAACGCAGAGAACTCCTGGTATACCATTGGCTTGGGAACAAGGTTGCTCAATCTCGCACGCACTGTCGACTTCATCCGAGTTAGAAGAAGATACGAGGACTACGAAGCCCTTCTTGACAGCTTTCTTCAACACACGACTATATAGAGCCGCAGTCTCACCACAATTCTCTTGAATATAAGGGAAGACTATGATGTCGGTATCATCACATCGCAAAGCCTCCTCCCAGGCGCGAGAAACATCAACAGGAGCAACTCCCTCTTTATAAGACATCCTTATCGATCGTATTTTAACTCTATCGGCGATCCCACTGATACCTTCGCCGTTGTTCGAATTAGCCGCAATGATACCAGCCATTGCTGTGCCGTGGCCGTGGTGATCCGCGTCATCCTCTCCACGTAGCCCATCAAGGTTAATCCCCTTGAGAAGTCTCCCATCGAACTCAGGATGTTCGGCTTTAATACCGGTATCCAATAAGCTCACGATTGGCTCCCTACGTTGAAGGCCCGAATCCCTCACCGCCTTCCACGTCTCCTCGATCCTCAAGGCTTTGAACAGCTCCTCTTGCTCCGAAAATATCGGATCGTTCGGAGGATACGCCAACGCATTCACCGGGGATTTCCTCCGAGGGACACCAATGTGGAATGATGTAGCCCCTGGCATTTCACTGATTTGTGGTGTCATCCACGAGTGTGAGTTGACCGTGCATGCTACTTCTCTATAGTCTTCATAGTGTTTTAGGGACACAACAAAATCACAAATCTCCTCATCAGACACCAAACAGCCCGGAACTCCAGTGGAGACTATCTCAATACCCGTGATTTCTAAGTTCGTTATCAGCGCCGCGTCCGCCGACTCTCCGAGGCACTCCGATAGTCGACTCAGTTCCTCCACTGAATGGTGGGCCCGCCCTCTCCCCTCGGTGACGTCGCGGGAGGTACGGCGGAACGCCTCCTTTATAGGGACTTGCTTGCCTCTATTATCTTCGATAACCACTACTGCAGCTCCCTGAGCTGCTGAGAATACCCCCGGTAGATGGGAGAGAATCATAACCCCCATGAGATGGAGGAAGGGTAATAAGGCAACATGCATTTCAAGTGTGGGAAAATAAACCTGAGTATCTCAACCGAAGTTTACAGCTGCAGATTCTGGAGCAGTGAATTTCAAAGATTCTGGAGCCCAGAATCAATTAGTGTAGAAAGTCAATTAAGAGACGAATCCAGTGGATTCAATCCACAATCACACGTCTCTGACGATTCGCCGAGCTGGAATTATTCTAGTATTTCCGAGCTGCCCGAAAATGTCGCATCGTAAAGGAATTGACCAGAATGCTCGAAACGAGAAAGTCCGATGCGCTAGCCCTCCAAAAGAGTTTAGCGGAGATAAGGTATCTTAGACTCCCAAATCGGAGCTGACGCAGCGACTCACTGAGTACCCTACTCACGAATCTACATCGGACAATGCCGCCTACCATTGAGTAACGCATAAAGCGGCTTCGGCCGTGTCCATCTTCACGGCTTCGTAAGACAATCCGGATGAAATCCATTGAAATTATTCATGACATCGCCCCC